GAAATCTCATTCCAAATCTGATATTTTTTGTATAAAATATTGATAACAATAAATATTATAAAATATAAATCTTCCTACAACAATTCATTATAAGACCCTTTTCAATAAACTTATAAATTTCTTATAGGTTATTAAATTTAATTTATAAGACAAAATAGTTTGTTAAAATAGATTCCGAGCGTGGTGGTCAGAAGATAGATATTGGCATATTTCTCTAAATTTTTGTTTCTACAAATACTATGTAGTTTTATAATACTAAAAAGTAAAAAAAAATATAAAAGTTTCAGGCAACATGTGTGCATCGATTGATAAGTTAACATATAATATGGAAAGGTACGAAAAAATATTTTTCATCTCGGAAAAATTCACATTTGTTTTTTATAATAATCATGAAAGTAGGCAAATGTATATTATATATTGGTATTTTATTATACCTATATTTATATTATAATAAGCAGGTGACCACCTACATATTTTGTCGGTAATATTCATACCTATCTCCAGTTATTAAAATATGAGTATGGGAAAGTAAGGCGGAATATCATCATTTATTCATATTTTTTTTTATTGACATGCTTCTCCTAGTTCATCCTTTTGCTTAATTTTCTCAAAATATAATGCCTCTGATTGTAAATATGCAATGTATAATATTTGTAGGAGTCTATGTACTCAATAGATATTGATACTCAGATGTCAACGACAAATAAAAACTATTCATGTCGGTTACGTTGAAATGTCATGAGTTTTCAATATGAAAATATTCCAATACATATATGGATGCATCCTCTATCACTCATTTTTAATCAATGTCACCCATTTGTTGAATATCTTTAACAAAATAGTAAAATGTCAAATAATACGAATCGTATTGGACACTTTTCTTGTGGAGCTCTGGTTAGGTTAGGCATGCGTCATTCGATTCAAAACGCGTGTAACAATGCATGAATCAAATATTAGAATTGCAAAATATGACTATTATTATTTTGCGAAACAATGTAGAATTCACTATAAAATTTAAAGGTTATTTAAATTTATGAATGCGTTTCCGTTCTAAATCTCAGCGTTTGTGTTTCTATATAAATACTTCAGGTGTGTGGTGCCGTGTATATTTTGATTTTTACAAGAATGATACTATTATATTTAATCGTGTTATTGATCTAAACATTATATTCTAGCACTGCCGTAGAATAGAACTAAACTATTATTGAACGTATCATCGCACGAAAAGCTGTAAGCAGAATTTCACGGATATATTTTCACTACCTACTGACGTTCACAATACATTTATATATAAATTTCAGGAGATAAAACTTTTTTGATTTTTTACTTCAACTGTTACGACAAACAACTAGTTTTTGCAACTAACTTTTAGTTTAACTATACTTTCTGTTCTTGCTGAAAACTATAGTATGTACACGGCGTAGACTGTTGTAGTACGTAGACACGTCTTCGTATAGTATGTAACATACTTCCCAAAAATTAATTTAACTTTTAAATTTATTCTTACCGTCTGATAAAGTAGTATATAGATAAAAATAACATGACCTAAATACATGCATCAGGTTTATTCTTAGACTAAGATAATCAATCATGAATGCTAAAAATGTAATTAATAATAATTTTCAAATATAAAATAGGTACGATTGTGTTTTTTCATCCAATTTTTTTAAATAGGATAATTCTAGTAAATAGTAATAAGTCACATGTTACGTTTATAGTTTGTCGGCTGTTATTACCATTAAACTATGCCTACAAAAATGTAAAGACATTTTTGTATTCGTTATAATGATACCATACCTACATATTCAACATGTATACCTAGTTACGTACACTGGATAATAATTCTATGTTACTAAAAATGTGATGTAAAATAATTCATTTTTGTACCCTATCTTATACAACTGTATAATTTACTAGTGAAATGAAGGTAGATACATGCATTATATTATAATATTATGCATATCAATTTATAAACAAACGCTATTTTTAAGATAAAATCCCTTAGTACTTGTGATTCTAATTAAAATACGAGTGGGTAGTGAGTATAGTGAAATTGTGTATACGTTTCAAATTCAACAGCCAAAAATACAAGTTGATTGCTGCACAATGATATGTATAGTATTCGAAGTATCTAATCAATCGTTATTTAATTTAAATCTATGTCTCAAAATCAATCAACTCACGCGTATCCTTTAGTATAACTATTTATAGAATTCTAAAAAATGATAAGATATCTGAATTACACAGATATTTGTTTTAGTTTAGATCTCTATTCAATATTAACAATTAGGTGACAACAATTTATCCTTCTGTGGCTCTGTCTGTCTGGCTATATTGTAATGCTTGACTTAAACTATATATAGGTAGCAGTAATATTCATGAATTAAACACGAACGCCACCATTTTAGTTTTGAATAAATGGTATGAATTAACAACAAAAGAAAATGACTAAGCTTTCGGAAAATGAGCGATAGAGATAAGTGTAGTAAAAAAAGTAATTTAAAAGTTTTTAGCGGTTATTTCTTCTGCTTCTTGATTTATGAAACAAATTCTGATTTAGTATGAACATTTGGGCAAAATGATCATTACCGAGTATACAGTATGTTTGTATAGTTATCAGTCCATTATATAAACAACAGTCGACATTGATATAAGTAGACATTTATTCGTATTAATCGTGAGATCTTTTCATCATGTTGAACCAATTGTGTATGTATTGCACAACATTGTGTTGTAATGAATTGAGCAGATATGTACGAAAATAACTTACTATTAAAGTCGAATTACATAATAATAAGTTGTTTCAGTGTTAATAATATGTATTCTAATAAGTAATAACTAATAAGTAATAAGTGATTATTTAAAGATTTTAAAATTTGTTCGGTTATACTATACTCCTCAAAATGTTACAGTCCTAATAATTCTTTAAAGAATTCGAACAATATCATATAGGTAGGTAGGTGCTTATTTTTTAGAGTACCTATTCGTATACACATTTAACTTTGGTTATCTAAAATGCGCACTACCATACAAATACAAAATATGATTTATCAACGTCTGTGTCGTAATTATTAAACAGCAGGAAAATCCAAATTAAAAACTTTAAATAATGCATAGTTGAAATTGTCACAAGAAAAAAATACTTTTCGGTCGTTTTAATGCCCTTCTATACAACGCATGTGTACATAATATATTTTAAAACTCTGAGTAGTTTAGAATTAAAATTATTTTCGTAACCGTTCTACGGTGTTTAATAATGAATTAGTGGGTTGAGGTGATACGGTCGTTGTTTTTTTTATGATTATTTACGTCGCGCCCAGTCTGCGCTCGGAGTCGGATCAATGAACGGTGTGACGTCAGAAAAACCAAGACATGCTTAAATTGTGTATATATATTTAGAAATATAATATTGTGTGTTATTATTTTTCCGACACCCCTTAAACTTATGAATGAGAATTTCCATTTGTGTTCATTTTTTTGCAATGGTTTTAAATCCTCTACTTTATGTTTGTCGAGGATGAACAAAAATGTAAATATTTGTTATATTTGTATTTAAGTATACCAACTACCTACCTCTGTGATTCAGTGGTAAAAAGCGGGTAGCTTTCCATCGTAGGTTATTATAAAATGATTGTTAAATGAAAATATTTTTATCCAATTTAAAGTGTGGCAATTGTGCCAAAAAGACATTTCAGTCCGATTAAAATAAATAGTATGGTCCAAGATTAATACAAAATCAGTCCCCGCAGTGTTCAAGAGCGGTTACGATTTCAGTGGTGAGGGAGGGGGGGGGGTTAAAGGGCTTTAACTCTCCTCTCCGTTTCGAATCACTTAATGAATTAGTAATCAATAGATTTCCAAGAAAAAACATTGATGAGTTAAAATACAACTCTTTAACCAATTTTGTTTTTGTTATTGTCACGATTTTTAAAATATATTACACAATACATTAATATGTCCTAAAGTTAGAAGTGTCATATTTTTGAAAGAAAATGTAGCCCCCTCTAATTTCAGATTTCTAGATCAAAGTCTTTATAAATTATTTTTTAAAAATTATTCCAAATGATTTAACATTGTTGTTAAAATAAATTTAAAGCAAAGTTTTTTTTAGGTATTATGGAATAAAAATGTATGATCTAAAAACAGTTTTTAAATAACTAGTAATTAACTAATATTTAGTTCATCTTAATCTTTAAGAGTAATTGTTAAGCAGACATTATTTTTGGTAATTGTAATTTTACAAAAAATACACAAACCATTTTTAAAATGCTGGAAGAATAAATTAAATGATACCCAAAGTTATTTGTTGATTCTTAAACCGATTGATTGTGTTTTTTCGTAAAATATTTTTTATAATAAATTGTATTTTGTATTATTTATGTTATTTCAATTCTATTATTCAAATTCAATATTCGATTTATTTAATGCTGAAATTATTTTATTCCGTAACAATATTGAGTGCTAAATTATTTGTTATCGGCATACATTTAACAAATGAACTTAAAGATTAAAAACATAAACTTTTGTTTTGCGATAACTTGGACGAAACGAAAAGAATTACTTGCACCCATTGTCACTGTATCATATCTCTATTTTTATTGTAAAACATTTGAGAAACAAATTATTAATATCACATTTTGAAAAATGATTATAATAAAAAAAGTTTACTGAACTGGAAATAAAACAATTTAAATATTTGTTGGGTTGTGTGGCGTGGTGTCTACACTCATGCAGTTGTGTACGCGCTATGAGTGTACATACTAGCCACCGTTGCTATCTCCCGGATGGGTGACCACCCGGGATTTTTATAGTAGTTGCCGGGCTTTAGATGGATTAAAAAAAAAATTAAATATTTGTTTACATGTTACTTTATAGTTTATTTAAATAAATTTAGCACCTCACTGTGTTATAATACGTTTTTCTTAAAATATATCTACATATCCATCCTGTTAAATACATTATAAAAAATACTATTATTTTTGATATTTATTCGTTTTTAGAGTTTCAGATAACGAATTAGCCGCTATAAGAAGATCATCATGTCTTTGCCTAAATTGCCAACCGACTTCCGGAGAGATGGCTTAGCTCTGATCACACGCATGGTCAGAACAAAAGACTTAGATGACCTCCAGGGTGAATCGAGCCCAACAGGACGATTTGATCCACACCATCAAACGAAATTAAAAGTACGATTCTTAAAAATTATTTTCATGATCCTTATCAGATTACAATAATACTATTATATAAGACGGTGTTAGTATACAACATTTCACTGTACCTATTATAAGATTGCGAATCGTTTACGGACCACTATCGATGTACCGATTATTCATTTCAGTATTGAATATCAATATTGTCAAAGTTTCTATTATAGGGTTGTGATAAATATAGGTACATTTAAGTTGAATTTGTCTTATTCAACAATACATTGTTTTGAGTAAAAATATTTTAGGGATTGGACTTAACAATTATTATTAATTACTCCGTGTGGCCGGCGAAAATTGAGATAAATAGTTAAATTCAATGATTTTACATCTTAATGTCAGATGTCAGTATAGTCAATCAAATCTATGATATTTTGTGTTTTCGTAAGATGAAATATATTTATGACTTAAGAAACTTTTAGAGGTGAATTACATTACTACTGTCATTTTGGTTGATAGAAGTTAATATCGTACGAAAAATAGTACTACATTTATTCACGACAGGTGAAAGCGATGTCGATATATTGTTCAATGGACTTAACTCGAAAACTTCGTTTATAAAGTTTGACTATATATTCGTGAGTGGTTTGATTCCAGATTTAACGTTGTTCCATATGAAAGGGCACGGTTTCGTACGATAACATTAATTGGCGTCATTTTTTTTTATTTCAAAACTTTTCTATTGAATTCGCAGTTGTTTATTATTGAGGCGATTCAACTAATTTGACGAGGGACTTTTAAAAATTTAACATTCAATTTATTTACAACCAATATTGATAGGAGCTTTTTTATATTTGTTTTTAAATCTGAAAAGGGCACACACACTATCAGAACAATAGAAACATTAAACATAAAAACGAACAATTATTCAGTTATGAATATAATATTTAATTTATCACCCTCGATTGTCATGCGTGCACAAAAAAGATTTAATTTCTCCTAATCGAATTCCTAAATCTTCAGAAATATATAATTTTAGAGGTATTATGGTTTTCATACTAGAAGCTATAATAATAAAAAATAAAATCTTCAAAATATAATTACCTATAAAATCAAATGTTATAATCAATTTATATAAAAAACAAAATAAACATCTAAAGTCAAGTTTTTTAATAAAAGTTTGGATTAGGCATTGTATAACTCTAATAAACTATTTGTTTTAAAAAAATTATTAGTTGGATAAAACAAAATGTTNTTAAGGCGCCCGGTGCCAATGTGATTTTGTCCTCAAAAACACGTTTAACGGGAATAATGATCCTGCCCTGTAGAATTAACCAAATTTGATCATTTTTTTTTTCATTGATAGAGGGAAATATTTTACAGCCCGCATCGAACTTCTTTTTTTGATATTTTAATCTTGAACTTAATTATAAGTCTTTAAAAAATATACAATTTTTAGCTTTTTTTATAAATTATTTTCTACTATTATTTAAAATAAAATAGAAAATCTGAGTTCGATGCGGGCTGTAGAATATTGTTGTAAATCATTTAAAAAAAAAATTATCCGAAAATATTCAGTTGTCAACGAGTTATCCATATTCCTGTTAAGTCATTTTTGTCCGCTGAAACGCCCGAAACGGACTACTAAATATTTCCTTATTTGTTCGATAGTGACATGTACCTGCGAGTGCGTGCGCGTTGCCCATGTACTCCCGCTCTACTCAGAATTCACCGAACACCAGAACATGTACCACGTATAAAAATAACTTATTATTATTATTTATTACAACAGAATTGATTAAATATTATTGTTATTATTGTCAGCGCATAGGTCGGGCCTATTCGGATTCGTTTTCTGCCGTGATCACCGCTTATTAGAACTTCCATATATTATTATTTAAAAAATGTGTATTGATTGGGTATTATTTCGTACGTATAATTTTAAAATAAAAATTACATATACATACAATCAATGAAATATATAATTTGATATATATGTATTTATATTATTATAAAACTCGGGTCGATGCAGTATACATATTATATAATTTATAAAAGTAAAATAATATTCTAATATAGCTAAAAAATAATTATAATAATTTATCGTAAGTACGTTAAGTGTTTTTAACGTAGTATATCAGAGTTCACTATTTCTTTCAACAAATGGTTTTTATAAAAATCAACAAGTTGAGTTTCCATTTTATTTTTCCAAAACTCAGTATCACGTTCTATTTTTTCAACAAAAATATCTGCAAAAAGAGTAATATTTCGACTTATTATACAACAGTTATTTATGTTTTTAATTATTTGTAAATATTAAATACAAATTACAAAATTTTACCTTTCGGGGTCCATACTATAAAATAACATGAACTTTTATTTGCTACCCTAAGTTGACCCTGCACTTGATAGTAATAATTATCATTTTTTTTCAATTTCATGTTTCCATCTTGGTCATTTATGAGAAATTTTATTTTATTAGCTAATAATCCTTCTTTGAGGGTCATGTCTTTAATACTATGCGGACATTTAATTTCCACTATATCCTTATCTCCCACTAATCCATCAGGAGAACCCGCCAAAAAATTATATTCTGCATCTACAAATAGACCTGCTGGTAAAACACTCAGGATGAATTAAATAATATTCTGTCAAAATATAAGGATTCTAAAAATTGAAAACTTTTAATATTATTTTAATTAAAACCAAATAATCTGAGCTGATCTACATATTATAGTTGAACAGGTTTATCAATAATTGACTGTTTTATTTGAATATGCTCACTTTTTTCGGTAAATGTAATACTTTCTCGGAGAATATCGAGAACTAATGTGAAAAATATCAAACAAGTGACATCCAAACATGATTTGATTGAAATAATTATGGTTGTACAGATGATATAAAAGTAAATCGCAAAAATCATATAAGTGCAGTTTATTTCCCATTACTGCGCTATGTACTTGATTAAAAAAAAACTCCCGATCGCCGGTTTAGAATAACGTATCATATTATAATGTGATGATTTAAAATACTCAAACGAGAACAACTTTAGGCGAGTAGTACGTTATGCGTTTCAACTTCAAGCGAACCCATATCGAATCTCCTTTGACGGCGAATCGAAGCTATACTACGCGCAATGTTATTCGCCTGCCTTTTGAGATAGCTTAAAATAGGTATAGGTATGCGAGGAATGGTTTGAGGATATACGTAGTTAAACGCGCGGGCGGTTCACTCTGTCGCTCTTGTTGTGCGTATCTCTCTATCTAATTTACTTGCCTCTTTCTGCGCATTTATTTACAGTCCGCTCTCGGCCGACACAAAGGGGCGAAGTGATGAGGTAGCAACGATGTAGTATAAGTCCGGTGCTCACGGCGTAATATACACATGATGTGTGTACCAGGTGATCGTATGTGGCGTTTACCTACCATACGTATACATACGCGGTAAAATATTGATTAGGCACCAACCTCGTGAGTAGGGTATGCGGTATACTCGCCAGCGAGTGGGTGGTTGGTGATGGTTGGTGTGTGGGGTGGCGAGGGCGAGAAGGCCGGTTTGTTGAAAGGGAGAATCGTAGAGCGAAAACATTAACATATATTGCGGCCAAGATATTATAACGTTGCAGCCCTGCAACGCACCAGCTTACCTACTCCGGATCGCGGTAGTATACACGTGCGTGTTTGTGCATGTAGGTGTGTACCTACTTCCCTCTGGATATAGGTGCACGTGTGTGCAATAAAATCCCCATAGCATCGTGTCCGCGGAAATAAAAAAAATTAAAAAAAAGGGGAAGAAATATGGCGAAATAAGTGGAAATATAATAATATAATAATAATATATATATACTCTGTATGAAAGTTGGAGTGAAGAGCAACGACCCAATTACGCGGGAGGTTACACACCGTGACAAATCGCCGTCCGTCACCTTCAGTTAACGCGACAACTGTTGAAATGTTTGCTATGGCGAAACGACATTTTTCACGTATTTGATGACGATGTGACCCCTTGATGACTAGAATTCCGTAGGGCGCCAGATTGGCTGCTTGATCGCCGGAAAACCACGGGACATGGTTTTCAGATATTTACTCGGCCTTTTCGTATATTTTACTGCTTAATTCATAAATTTCAATCTGTTATCTGTCGAGATAATATCCGTATCGACCGCTCTTGCTCGAAACAATCAAATAAAAACAGATAGAGCTATCGTAATATGCCACGACCGACGATAGCAATACCAAAATATTTATTTGTGATCTATGTTTTTTTCATCCCGAAAATTGTCCATCATTTGTCCCAATAATAGTAAATACAATATAACATAGTACCTATACGATTCGTCTTAAATTTTTTTTACACCTTATAAGGGACAGGGAAAGTTACAAAAAATATATTAATACGTATATTATAATATGGTTAAATCATTTTAACCACGTATGATAGTAATTACTAATTATATCACTATAATGACGTGTAACAATGTTATTTTGTGGCCACGATTGAGTAACATTCCGAGGTTATGAGTAATTATGTACACGATTACACGTCAAACCTCTGCGGTTTTATAATATACTTATTTTAGGCTCAAAACAAAACAAACAAATAATTTTTAACCCGCGTAAAGCATAATATTATTGTTAAAAGTACCAGTTTCTATTGAAAATCAATATTTTACATAATTATTGATCAATATTATATGAATTATTTTTATAGTTTATTGTTCCGAGAAGAACTGTAAGACACAATACGTATTACCTTGTTCCATATCAAATTACATAGTACCTACCTATGTTTTATCTAATATTATACTGGACGTATTGATAAAAATTCATTACATGACATTTTGTCCGTAACTGTATGCATTTTCTGCTTTAAAGACGGTTTCATTTTAATCATTACTTCCAATTTATCATAATATTTACTTTTTTTAATAGTATGGTCTAATTTAAATTATTTTTCCAAAGTATAAGATATTATTTCGAGTACATAACATTATATAACACAATATATATTATGTAAAACAATAGTAAAAAATAAAAAACGAGTCTGATATTGTTCATCTACAGATATTATATACATTGTATGGTGTATACTATATTATAAAGCTATCTGTATAATATGGCTGCATAGTTAGTTTTTTTATACGTTGATATTTTTTCTGATGACTGTGTCGTTTATAAAATCATTGAACCACCAAATTGTTTTAGCCACATCACATGACGTTAAATAATAACCACAAAAAGAGTGTGGTAAATAAAAGCTTGGTAAATAAAATTAGTAACATTTTATTAAAAAATGTTTATAAACACAGTTGCTCGTTATTGTAATATTATTAGACGTTCAAACCTATAAATAATATTTTATATTACTATCTAGTATTTTCACTTTCATTAATTGTTACTTGTTACATTTTCACCTTAATTCATGATTGTACACCATAAAGATGTTGATAAATCTCTAGAATAAAAATTAAAAACTTAAAATGATAAAATCTAATTTCCAATTGATAATATACGACGAATATGCATTTTACATAAATATATGTTTACAATTACTTACAAATAAGAAAAATTCTTCAAAAGAAAAAATAAGCATAACTTGGTAACTACATTATAAATTGTTTTCCTTTGAACGATTTAGTTTATAAATTATGTAAGGCTGCCATAATAGTATGGTTATAGTTATAATGACATAGTTAAATAATTGTTCAATGACAATTAACTTTATTTCCATTTTAATAATTTATTTGCTTATCCATGCTTTTATGAAAATTATTCTTTCGTTTAATTAAATAAGTAAATTACATATTGTAATAAAATATAACATTATAAGACATATTTTAGATTTTAAGAAACTTTGAGGACTATAATATGCTTGTATAATTAAACAGCTATGATCCAGCCAGTATAAATAATATAACACAATATATTTTAATACTAGTGGTTTAGCTGTGTGTATTATGTTAAGTTTCTAACTGCGTCGGACAGATTAATTAAATTTATAACCAAACATTCTTGATTTACTCATAGTAATATTATTTTCATGCAATTTTGTAGACTTTTAATATAATAGTATATTGTATCATATTCTATTCTTAATATTAAAAATCGTAACAACTTTTAGTTTAATTGTTGTGGTATTTTTGCATTTTATGTTGGGCTATACTTGTACGATAATTCCAAGTATTAAAAAAACAAAACAGATTTTATCTCAATACAAAATCATATAGTAATAAAATTTAATCATAATGCCGTTATCTGTTTTTTAATCAAATTAAAAGAAAATTGACTTAATTTAAACACCTATAAAAATTATATTTAGTGGCTACTACTTTTAAAAAAATATCTTATTATTAAATTATGATAAATTTGAAGGTCTTATACAATGTCGATTGCATAATATACCTACCCCTATAATGTTATTCAATTTAAAAATTTAACAGCATGCATTTTTCCTCTTTAAAATTATAAAAATGAATGATGTGTACAATAATGTTGCTACAAAATATTTAGAATTTTCATTTTTAGATTGGTGACAAAGTTACCAAATTGATTTCATTAAAAGCTATAGAAGTGCAGCATTGAAAAGCTATATTTAACTGACAACAATTTTTACAAAAATAAAAAAACACTATTTTAAAACCAATATTTCTATCACTCCAAACAGAAGCAATTAAATGCAGACTATCTTTTTTTTATGTTTATACACCCAAACACAAAACGGAAAATTAGTACCCGCCAATATTAAATAAATATTTTATTTCCAGTAAATGTGTCCATTAGTAAGTAGTAAGTACGACTGATTTTCAAATTTTTTTGAACATGTTTATCTGAAATGTAATCGTTTTAAAATTAACAAATATAATACTACACATCCATGCATTTTAAGCATAGTAAAATAAAATAAATAAAATAAAGCCTACATATCGAAAATCCTCAAATTTCAGTTAGATTGTAATTCTTTCTTAGTTCACTTTTTTATTTACTTTATTTTGTTTGCATACATTCCACCAACTTTTTAAAACGAATTACAAATTTTATTCGAACAATATCATTGAGATTTGCAATATGTAGATACCTAAATAATATATCATCGTGTATTGGTATCCTGCAGTGTTTAAATATCGCATACCAAGTGAATGATTGACATTTTCATAAGACACATGTTTAACTATCACTTAAACGACTTACACTTGTCAGATTGCCATGGCGATATTGCAAATAGAATGTTTTAGATATTATTTTACTCCATAAAAAATCAATTTTCAGTCAACAAATAGCATGATGTAGATAAATTATAAATTTTTTCTTTTCCTTTCAATAATCATATCATACCTCATTTTTCAACTATATAGGATGTATCTACAGAATTGTACACTTAAATAATTACATTTAAATATATGCCATATCTCCCAGAGATTATCTGAATATTATAATATTTAAGGAGTCATATATTGGTGGTTAGCATTTATTGCTACAGTTGTATTTTTATGAATTATAATATATTTCTGTTGGGTATATTGTTTTTTTAAAAATTATTTATTAGACACGGGGAAAAATAATTGTTTTATTTCATATATGTGGTTGCCATAAAATCATAGTAAATGGTCTAACAGCCAGCTATAATAATTATACAATAAATAAAGTACGTCTATTTCCAAAGACCCATTTTTATAATATTCAGCCATTATGTGCAGACATATACATAAGTTATCTGATGTCTTATTTGAATATGATCTTTTAAATTACCATATTGAACGTAAGTACTTACTAATTTATTAAAAGTAAGATTGGGATTTGTACTCATGATTATATTTAAATTCATTTTTTGTACTTTTCTATAAAAAAATATTTACCTACTGATTAATTTTTCTCGATAATGCATTTGTTATGTTATTCAATATGTCATAATGTTGATTTAGCCATATATGCTTCGTAAATCTTTTAAAATGATAGTTTTCAAACTGATTGATCATAATATTATGTCCATGTTATTATGTTTTAGTACTTAAACTTAAGCTAAACTAATATATTTTAATATATGCATTATAATTATTCTCGATTGTTATTGTAATTTTGTTGCCTCGTAAAGTGTAAAGTAAAATAAAAATAATGAAAATAGTTAAAATTATAAAAACGATTAGTGTAAAAAACTAAGTACTTGAAATATTTTTTTTAATGCATAAAATACTTTTTTGCAGACTTGTTTTTGTGCTTTAGTTATCTTGTAGACGTTTTAATCAGACGTTATATGTATAACCATCTACGAAGTGTCAATCTTTCACGTCGTCGATCTTGACAACTACTAACCAATTTTTTCTTTCACACAATCAACAACGCCGTTCTTATTACCAATTGTATTTAGTCGTCGATCACTCCTATCAAACAAAAAGTTATTTTCAAGAGCAAAAAAAATTTGAGAATAATATTAAATAATACATAGGTATAATATAAGGCACCTCCTACTAACTTATCAAATTACACTAAACGCTAAAAAAATATACGAATCAAATGTACATGTATCTATTTTTTTATGTTTTTACGATGGAATCGATCACACCTAACTGTACAAAAGTATTAGTCATATCGAGTTACGCACTCGCATCAGCCGGTCAAATGGCAATGGCATTGGCATAACGATGCTCTTTGCAAATATGTATTTATGTATCATTTTATTTTTGTATTTACAAATAATGGTCATGGCGTATGATGTTTGTCGAAATTTAAAACGCACACCATAATGATTATATATTATACACACCACGGCTTGACATGCATTATACACAAAACTGACAAAATTCAAGTTGAATCCAAATATTTATTCATTTTTGAGAAAATATCATGATAGCTTATTATTATAAAAGCGTCCGCGAAAATAAAAACCGAGAGCATTACGGTTTAAATTCGACATTGAATTTTTGAAAAAAAAAATGTAATTTTATCATAGTAAATACAATAGGGTATTCGCACAGACTGATGAAGGCGAGAGAGCCGTTTGATCCACACTACATTTAATATATTTTAATTTTTCACGATATTCCGCGTGTAGCGAACTTCTATAGACATCCGTGTAGCGGAATTGCCTACACGACGTGCCGCGACACTCAAAAATCAATATCGTCGTCCGGCGTCGGAAGTAAACAGTTTATAACACGAGTTTTTCTCTTAAAATCGTGACGTCTCTAATTAAACAAAAACCCATTTCGGAACGATTTTTACTTTTCAAAAATTACCATCGCCTTGAATGAATATTCAAGTTGTATTTTATTGAAATATAATAATATAATATAATATGATGTACGTATAATTTCGTATTGTAAAATTAAAAATAAATTATTTCTCAGAGGTCACGCATAACATAATATTATTTATTATTCATCCTACATCATATTTGTATATACATGGAATATTATAATACAATAATTAACAATATAATATTATACTACTATTCCATTTATGGTTCATAACGGTCAGCAAATAATGTACCTACTTAAATACAATTATTTCTACCAGTAGAATTTTTAAACAATTAAGCATATATCACGAATGAGATCCACTCTAATTTTATATATTATGTTTTTTGTTTACAGAAATGTCTGAACACCATTGACTTGACCTCTTTGGGTGTCGGCTCTTGTCTGGGGACAGGCATGTATGTGGTCACCGGACTGGTTGCTAGGAGGTTTGCCGGCCCCGCGGTCATCCTCTCGTTTATTATAGCCGCCGTAGCGTCACTGTTTTCGGGTAAGAGAATACAATTAATAATTCGATTTGTATACAATATAATTTATCCTGTTGCTGCTAAATTTTAATCAGTGAAGTGGTTCATATTATATTAAAATAATTTTAAAAAAAACATCATCACATTTCTGGAACAATATACTTTACAGATTTACCTATAGAAAATAATATAGCAGTATTAATAAATTATTTTGACCCATGTCAGGTTACTCACTATATAATTTCTGTTTTAAAACTAAAATGAAATCTGAAAGTTACAACTCATTCTCTCGAGTATTTTTCACCGTTCAAGCGCACGCGACTTAGACTACTAATCAACGTTATAGTTTTGTTCCACGCTTGAATTCATGTAGGAATCAATCGGATTACACGTTCCTTAATATTAATTTACTAGCGATGTCCACGTGGTAAGTTTGTAATCTGATTGAAATTGTCTATTTATTCGTTCCAGTAAAATCAATGGTTTTAATCCGTACATACCAGATTGACGACTATAATCCATTCAAAATCAGTTTACGGGTTGCGTCAGTTCTATTTAAATAGGCTATTTGGATTTGTCTATAGATCAAGTTGACGGTTTTGATCCGTTGAGTTTAGATAGATCGTTTCAGTGGTAGTATACGTAAAAAATAAATAAAAATTACCTTTTCCGATCCACATGCTCGTTTTTTATACTAAAGAATTTCCAGAAATCAGTTTGTTTCATTTTCCATACTATAGTATTCTACATTGAGTTTAATTTGAAACATATTTCATAATATTACAAAACTAAATAAGCATTGAATTTTTAAAAAATGTGATAATTCAAACAAAAATAAATATATATTACGCGTTCTAGTTATTATTAACATTATATATTTTTTATTAAATTCTAAATAAAAAAAACTTTTAATAATAAAAACAAATGATGAATATTTAAACTCTACCCGTCTGTTGTTCATAGGTGGAGTTTAATATTTTAGTATTAATATATTATTTCACCTTATTATTAATTTGAAACTATTGAGATGTATAAAAATACTAGATATCATATTTCTATGTCCTATACTTATAAAATATTATTTCCAATAAAAATATCAATGGAATTCGTTATCTAAGAAGTGACCGATTTCAAATTAAACTGATATGACAAGTGATATTAAGATACTATAAAAAAATTCGACAGCTAAATAGATATTCAATTTATTTCAAATTTTCAAGTTACAACACTAATTTATATATATATTTTTTAATTTTTAATAAAGTATCCGTAAGTGGAACCAGAGTTAACCATCTCGTATTTCAATGTAGAAAGTTGTACAAAATAATAATAAATTATCCAATTAAGTTTAAATAAAATATGAAAATATGAAAAATCGTACATTACAAAATAATAACTGTTGATTCAAGACTTATACGTTCATATGATATATTTGATATTATCCTCCATAAATCATAATATGGTTAATATCATAACATTGTTCCTTATCAACACTATACAATCTAAACATTCACCTCTTAAATAAGGAATAGTGGCCATTTTATTAGTGATATTAATACTACCGATATCGTCTATTTAGTATTTTTATATATCTCTGATTTGAAATCTCAAACATACATTGTTCGATGACATTGTAAAACACAAATTGAATTTGTCAGTTGAAACCAACAGTCCGAATTTTATTAGTAGCTCAAGTATAGACGTATTTTATGTTCTAACATCATTTTTTATTTTCACAATCTGTTAATTTTTTATTTTATTTTTGATCAATAAACGGATAAACCAGTATATATTATATAGTATATGTTCAGTGTATATGTAAAGAAGTATCAGCTAGCTTTTTGCAATGTTCCGGATGGCCGCAGTTTCAACCCTAGAATCCAGATTGTCGATTTCTATATCCTCGAATCCGGATTATCCGTTTAAATCGTCTTCGAATCGAATCGTTGTGAAACGATCAGATATACCAGTTTAAATAACATTATATTAAATTCGTATGCTGATTTTTTCAATACAGTAATTTTTTATCGTAGTAACAATTTGTAAAAGGAACCAAATTCAAACAAAAGTCGGCGTTTGTTGGACAATCATGTATACATCTCAACTTGCGTTCCATCACTCTTCGATTTCAATTGTTACCCAAAACCCTTTATAATATGAGGAGTTTGAGTTATAATTAATGTACTTATTACTAGATCTTACTTTGCCGGGACACAATAATTCATATTGAAATTCTGTAAAAAAAAATAAAATAAAAATACCTAATCATTGTATTTTGTTATACAGGTGCGTGTTACGCCGAATTCGGAGTCCGAGTACCAAATACTTCCGGTTCAGCGTATATGTACAGTTACGTCACTGTCGGTGAATTTATAGCGTTTCTGATTGGCTGGAACATGGTGCTTGAGTATCTCATAGGGACATCGGCATGCGCGTGTGCCCTGAGTGCGAGCTTGGACTCGCTCACTAACGGTGCCATTAGTACGTCCGTTCAGAATTACGTAGGGTTCCTCGGTGAGTACATTATATAATATTATACAGGTACCTCAGGTTTTGACGATTGTATATATTGTTTATATTTTAGTCATATCTCAATGTTTAAAGTCAGTATTATTTTTAATTAAAATTACTTCATAATAATTTTTTTTTTTTGGTTATCCCTGTTTTTTTTTTATTTAATCTTTGTGGAACAGTCATGGTTATTAGGCGGGTTGGTAATCAACCAAAACTGCAAGAGTGTATTAGTATTTAGTATTGACAAGTTATATTTTGATGAATGATAAAATATTTAGGGGTAATAGTGTTGAGGGGTACAACTATGTTGAATATTGAAGGGGGTATTTGAGGACTTATGAAAGAAAACATGTAGGGTGGTTGTAGTGAAAATGTGGGCAGTTGAAAAGGAAATAGTGGAAAACTCAGTTTATGGACTTTTGTAGTGGGCAGAGAGGAATTTAACGAAAGTTTAAACTTCAAAGGTATGAGAGAAAAATAAAGTATGGCCAATCGTTACAAGCAAAAAAACCAGCGATCGTTGCCGAGTTTATTATATGCCAAATTGCCAAGTGACAAAATTAGTATTTCCTGCACTGTTTAACCCATTTATATTTTATGCATTTGATGAGGCTAGGGCTGAAGTTTCAACATAGAATTTTAATATTGAGTGTCAAGAACATTTAGGAGTCATTATTGGATATATTTTTGAAGAGTAATTTTCCATTGAACCTTTAATTCCACAATCGCTTGTTTAAAATGTGGTTTTCAAACGTTTACCTATATTAGCTAACATATTCGAATTCTGGGTGAACCGTACACCTCTGGGGGTTTTATTCAAATTATCTAGTAACTAGTGTTACTTATATAAAGTACAGTGAATGCATTTAATCTTCTGCAGGTGGTTTAAATCTGTTGTTATTGCACCTATGAGAATAACATGTATTTATGTTTTTCATTTTAATATTAATAAAACAAATTTTTAGAAAACTATTCATATTGTTGCAATACAATATTAACTACTTGACACTTTTAAATGTTGTAAAAGTTAATACGATGTTATAATTGTGTGGAACATTATGTTTTAATAATGCATTTTTACACGTCATGTAGTCCTGTACACACACGAATTGCATCATAAATTTAGGAAAGTAGGTTTGTTTTTTTAACTCTGGACGTTTGTGGTAATTCAAAAATACTTTATGACATGTGTTATACGAACAAATTTTCAAATTGCATCCACATAATTATCGATGTATGTATATCGATGTATTTTATAATATTAATTGGTTACACCTTAAAAAGCCATAAAATAATCTTAAAAAACAAAATTATATTGGTTTTATAAAATGTATTTATAAATATTTTTAAAAGTATTTTTGACTGATAATGCAAAATGTTAACCTTTAAATACCTATTGATTTATATTAGTATATACCTATTTTGTTTTGATTTATTAATATTAGTATTATAATATGATGTATTAATATTCATCCGTTGCGGATGTAATTCGAGTATATTACGTATAATTAAGCTTGAGGGGATCGATTCGATTGTGACTATGTAGTATGTACTATGTAGGTAACAGTTGATACATAAATGATAATGTTAAGTATGGATAATATTTAAACTGTGTGGGTGTTGGGTGTTTATATAGGTACCATTTCGGAATATAGCGTTATATATACAGTTCTGTTATTAACGTATCATATTTTAAAAGAAAGAACTGCCGAATTTTGTATTCGGAGAATATAAGAGTTCTAAATCCGAATTTAAAGGAAAGTTTACTACTACCTACTATATCCTCGTGAATTGCGGTATTATTATTTTTACCCAAGTATAGAAAAAAATGTAATATACCTATAGCTGAAACAGAATTTTTGTATAGTTTTTTTTTTGTCATTCACTTCGGAAACTTGTCGGAAGTTCCGAAAGTAATAAATGCACTGTTATATCAGTAGGTAGGTATATGCTTGCTATATATCTGTCACCATCGATTTTTATTCGCATATTCAACACATTGACAACCATGATACAATATTATAATAATATGCGTCGAGGCGATGTTGTAAAGCTTGGGTAACCGTCGAGGCTAATATTTCCGTGTCACGGGCGTCATCACAATGCGGTTGGATTCGTGTTCGTTTAATCCAGGGTGTATATTATAAATATTAAAAAACGGTGACAGAAACTCCGTTTCATCGTTGGAACACGCCCGTTGTTACGTGAAAATAGGGAGAGATAGAAAATAATAATATATTGTAGCCCATCGACAGTAAATGTGTGGTTTCCTATACGGGATTTTGTTAATAAATCATAAGTTGTAGAAAGAAATAATTATTTTATGTCGATAAGTAGGCCATAGTTTAAAAGCGTATACATATATATTATCATGTGTATATAGTACTACTTATGTAATGAGTAAGAACTACTATATATTTAATGGTTCAAAATCAAACATTAAAATTAGACTAAGAAAAAAAATATTGACTCTTCGTCTCACGTAAAAAGAAAAATCATTTCCGGGTAAATATTAAAATTTCAATTTATGCAATAAGTATTATTATGTTTGTAATAATAATAATAATAATAAGCTCCCTGTAGATAGATATTTAAAAATAACGAGTGGATACTTTTTTTCAATCATAATAAATTGAAGGGAATAAAAATGAACACATATGTACGTGGTTCATTAAATTATAAATTTGTACACTTATATTTTCTAATAACAATCTCTTGTCACTGTTAGATTTCATATTCAGGTTGGCATACAATTTACTACCAAAAAAATATAAATCACAAAAATAAATGTTAGACAAATACCTTCCAAAAACCTCAATCCACCCAAACCTCCAAACCTACATAAAACTTTTGTATAATATTTTTTCATTGTATCCATTTTTTGTTTGAAAACAGTGTTTAACAACAACAAAAAAAAAAACACTGCAGGTACCGACAATTATGAAACTGGTCATAAAGTATTTACTGTTTTGATAATTTCATTGAATTTCAGTAAAATATAATATTTTTCGTCATATCAATTATTAATAATTCATATTGGATGTGGATTTTAAAGTAACAATATTTAAATTAATCAGAATTGTAAATTTTAAAATTGTATGATGGCCATTCAGTTTGCCTTATCGTTTTTCAATAGCTGCCAACCATAAATCAAAAAAATATTGTTGTCTCATATATATTTTAATAAAATTATAACATTCAAGAAGGTCTGAATCTTTTATCTTTACCATTAATCTGCTATGTGTCATTTGTTTTGTATTTTATTTTAACCAAAATAGCATTGCTGCATTAATTTAGTTTTACATTCATTATAATTACAAGAATGAAAAATGAACAAGATACGACACGTTTCTATTGAATACAAAAAAGTTGTTTCTGTGTTTGAAAAAACGTTGTTGTTTAATTTACGTATTTATTATTCGCTGATATTAAAGTAAAACGTTTGAATAAATCTATAACTTTTTATGCTGTTTATTTAAAATCATTTCAAAAAGTTTTTAGCCTCAACTGAAAGATTAAAAAAGTAATTTATTTTCAATTTCTTTTCAACAAATTCTAATTCAAAATTTTTTTTTCACAGTAGTGAAAGTCATAGAGTTTATTTTGTTTAAACCAACCGAAACATACATATATCAATAATGTCAATATAAGTAATAATTTATGAGTAAATAGACAAGTAGAAAAACATTCATTTGGCAGAATCTTTAATATTATACTAGTTTTTAATACCCGATCAAAAAGGTGTATTAATGCGTTCGACCTGAATAGATCAGCTAAACTAGCTGTTGGTTTTATAAACAAGTTTTTTTACTTGCAAAGAAATATAACAGATACATAACAGCGTTATGGCTCATTTTGAAAATGTTCTGCAGTCTTAATAAAATCGGAAAACTTGAAATATAACAGTAAAAATATATTCGACAGCACGTTTTTTATTCAAATTTATGAACAATTGTTCTCAACTTTATTATAACGCACACGAGGCAGTAGCCTCCTTGACGTGTAAAGAATATAAGATTTTTTTATTCTAACTTTAAAAAAAATTATTTCTCATAAATATATGTATACACGAGGATGAGATAAATAAATATAATATATATATGTGTGTGCATGCAAATATTTATACCTTATAATATGTTTAAACCAAAAGCAGATTTGTATAATATAGTATTTTATGGAATAATTTAATTATTATTTATTAACATGTTATGAACGTACGAAATTTTAAAATTATTTATTTATTTTACTATAATATTCTAAATTCTGGCATAATATTCAATGTTATAAAATTATATTATTAGTTGTTCATATACTAGTCGATATTATAATTAAGTATTCTTGACAAATAATTTTATAAGTGAGTACCTAAATCGATAATAATTACCTATTTTGAATAATTTACAGAATAATTAGTTTCCACTAAAGCAGTCTAAGTAATTTTTAGTCAATTAACTTTAAGTAAGTGAAAACTGAGAATATAAATCAACAAAATTACTAGTCCCTTAAATTCGTCATCTATTTAATACGTTTTTAAAGCTTTTTAAATGTCTTAGTATGTTAATAGGTTTCTTATGTTTCTATGTATAAAATGTGTATCACACTGAAGTTTAATTTTATGTAGAACTGTATAGAATAATTTAATTCAAATTTCAATTATTAATAATACTTATTTATTAGATATTTATTATTATTTTCTGTATACAACTAGGAACAGTATGTAATTTTGGCATAAAATATTATATGAGATTATATAATTTTAAACGATACTATATGTAGAATTTACGATTAGGTATTCAAAAATTAAGAGTTATTTATACATACTACAATTAGTTGCTATAAACTATCTGATTAGTTGTTCATCAAAACTGACTCGCAACATTCAATATTATAATTTATATAATATGATAATTTCCATACAATAAACATAATAAATATATTATGTATAAGTACTTAATATGTAAATTAATATTCGTTATTATGTTGATGGTGATTATTCGATT